TCCAAAACCACTACACTGAAACCCCTAAACCCCTGAACCCCGAAACTCCTAAACTCCCAAACCCCGGAACCTTTTCATCAAAGGCCTCCATCAGGCCGCTGTGGTCGCGCTCCCCAAGAAGAACCAGCGCCTTGGACAGGTAAGGGCTTTAAGGTTTTGGATTATGGGGTTTAATTAGGGGGTTTAGGTATTAGGTGTTTAGGGTGCATGGGTTTAGGGTTTAGGGTTTAAATATTTTGGGGTTTAGGGGTGTACGGGTTTAGGGTCTAGGGATTGCATGTGAGGTGTGGGTGCTTCTGGTTTAATATGGTTACCTTAAGGGCTTACATCAACCCCATCTTCATCCTGAAACACATCGTCATCTGCCTTCTCCTTTAGGGTTTAGGGTTGAAGGTTTAATGTTTACGGATGCTTTTTGATTCAGGGTTGAGGGTTTACGGTTTAGGGATGTTTAGGGTTTAGGGTTGAGGGTTTAGGGTTTACCTCAGCCAACCTTTCTGCTGTGCTGCGGAGTCGTTAGGTGCGAACTGCGAACTATCAGCATTTCTGCCGACCCATGCACACCATTCAATCTATCAGTCTGTCTGTCCCAGTATCTCCTTCCAGGCAGTCTCAGCCTTCTAGTTGCTAGCTCTTTAAAACCTTCAAAACCTACGACACCCGAACAAAAAACGGTGATAAGACCATGAAATCATAAACGTAGGTATAAGACTAAGAAGAAGCAGAATAATACCATCATACGTTGAAGACATTTCGAAACAACCTAAACCCTGAACCCTAAACCCTAAACCCTAAACCCAAAGCTCTAAGCCCTAAACTAGTCAACTAGTCTGTCCAAAGTTTCTGCGATGCAGGGGCCCCGTAATCCCGAGACGGTGCCTCCCGAAGAACAGCGTCCAAGCTTTGGGCGGTGAACTCCGTCCGAAACGCGGCCTGAAAGGCATACACTATTATAGTAGGCTACAGTCTATTACGGCAAATTATTGTACATTATACTATGCTGTTTGTAGTCTGATATTGGAGTATACTAAACCTGTTTCAATATGTTGTAGTATATTATGGTAAAAAGTGGCATATTAGAATATGTGCTTCACTGAACCATTTTATGACTTATAGTATATTTCATGCCATCCCTGATCCCAGCTTGTCGGATGTAGACTTTCCGAGTTTAGGCGTTTAGGGTTTACAAGGAAACCTGAAGTCCGTGCGATTGGCTACATAGCTACCAATGCAAACCGAAACCCGACAGAACTCCTTTTCGCAGGTCATTGAAAAGACCTGTGAGGCCTACAAGAGTTCCCATGTTCGCTTCAGGAAAGCATCGAAAACCAGCCAAGTCTTCAACAGCACTCTGAGCCATAATGCCTTCTCAAAGGAATCTAGAAATCAGAAAATGCCACCAAAACGGAATGAGTTGGGGTTTGGGGGGCATCGGATTTGTGGCCTTTTGCAGGGGGCTTTGTGCTTCACATGCTTTAAACGAAAGAGCTGGTGGATTACAATGGGATCTTGGGATACTTTATAAAACCCCCAAAGGAACACCTAAACCCTAGAACCCTAAACCCTAGAACCCTAAACCCTTCACCCCCAGACCTGAGGAAGCCCTTTAGCCCCCACTCAATCTAGATGGCATGTCCTCTGATGTTTGGGGCGAAAGCTCAAACCACAGCCCAATGACAAGTTGAGAAAAGCCACTATAAGACAACCCTAGACCGCCTTATAAGCTGTAAGGTCATAAGAACCCACCCTAAAGCCTAAACCCTAAACCCCAAGCCCTAAACACTCAAAACGCCAGAACACCTGCAGAAAATTAGCATTAGATCCTCAAGCCGGCCACCTCCAGCAGTCTCTGGATCGCGTTGGAGACGCTCGCTGTCGGCAGCATCTCCTTGAAAATCTCCAGGCAAGCTTGCCGGCTCCTTGACTTTAAGCGTTTAGGGCTTGGGGTTGGACAGGGTTTAGGAGTACCGAGCAAGGGATCAGCTGCCCTTGCGATGGATTCCCACAGACTGCGTCTGGATGAGCTCGGCACCGCTTGGAAGGGTTTTACAAGGTTCCTCGATCCCTCGATAAGTATTACAAGGCTTCAGAAGGTGTTATAACAGTTCTGTGTACGGTGGCTACGTGTGGCTATGTTACGAAGGACTCCCTACATTACTATGCTTGGGTTTCGATAGTTTGCCTGGGTTTAGGGCTCTGGCTCCATAGCGGCTGGGGTCTTAGAAGTTTGGGAGTTACCTAAGGGTTTAGGGTTTGGGGTGTCTGGTACTGGAGTTCCCTCGAACCCATCCTAAGGGACAGAATCTGCGATATCTGAAGGTCCCCGAAACTATAGAATTTAGGGCATCTTCTTGTATCATGAGTGATGCAGGACGTTGTCAATCAAAGGCTCTTTGCAGGCTTGAGGCAATGAGGTGCTCGGAATTTCTGGTTTATGGAACCCCCCACAATAGTGTAGGTAATTTTATAAGGACCCAACCCCACAATAGTATAGATAACAACCCTAAACCCTAAACCCTAAACCCTAAACCCTAAAGAGTATAAGGACACTATATTGGGTGTTTTGGTTTTGGGTGCAGGGTCTGGGTCGCACCGAGCTTGCAGGGAAGAGACGTCAATAACAGGGCTTCACCCTCTTCTCTAGTTCATGGTTGGGGTAGTATTAAAATTTTTAAATGTATATTCCTTATTGGCTTTAAGTACCCCTTAAAAATGTAAAATGCTACCCAACTATGACACAGTTCTATCGGCCCTGGATCCCCCATAGAACCTGTGCATCCCAGGGAAAGGGTCCTTCGACCCTCACCCCCCCGTTAACGGTTTAGGGTTTAGGGGTTTAGGTTAGGGTTTAGGGTTTAGGGTTTAGGGCTTGCAGCCTGAAGCCTAAGCCCCAAACTAAAACCCGCGGTCTCTCTCCAGTTGAGCTTCAACAGGAGGCAGATGTATGAAGACACATCACACAAAAAAGCCCCAACAACGCCATCCCCTAAACAAACCCCGCACCCCAGCCCATCACAAATATCCAAGCAGGCACCCCCTATGCTTAAGCACCCCTTCCAAAAACCTGATAAAGCTGTTCAAAAATAACCATTCAAGCATCTGAAACCCCTATAAAAGCCTCATCATAGAATTACACCCCTGCAAAGCATCATCAACCCCAGAAAGAAGGCCTCGAAATTCCAAAACCCGCCCCATCTTTTCGTTTTTAGGGTTCAGGGTTCAGGGTTTAGGGTTTAGGGTTTAGGGTCTAGCGTCTAGGGTTTAGGGTTTAGGGTTTAGGAATTAGGGTCTAGCGTCTAGGGGTTTAGGGTTTAGGGTTTAGGGTTTTGCCGGGCCGCCCTGTAACGAGGCCTTCCACCACTCCGAGCCAGACCTCGGAGCTCAAGGGGCCCAGGTAAAAGGCCGCCCTCACGGCATACCTTGGAATTTCGGTGATAGGGTTTAGGGTTTAGGGTTTAGGGTTTAGGGTTTAGGGCTTAGGGTTTAGGGTTTAGGGTTTAGGGTAATTAGAATAGGGTTCCTGTAAAAGGGTTACTATAAAGGGCATTATAAGGGCTTAACATAGGGGCCTTAATCATTAGAATGGGGTTTTGGGGTCCATTAATTGTACTATACTCCCCCAAAAAAAAAAATAGTATTGGTAACTTGTTCATTTAGGCTTCTATAGCAGGGCTTGGGGACTTGGGGGTTGAGGATGGTTTCGGGCTCTAGGGTTTAGGGTTTAGGGTTTAGGGTTTAGGGTTTAGGGTTTAGGGACGCACCAGGGCCTTTGGTGTTTTCGGATTCATGGGTTTTGGGCGTCAAACTTTGTTCTTGAAAGACTTTTGCACTTGATAGACTGATTCTATGCTGAAGATGAACTTTTGCTTTGCAAGAGGCTAAATCTACGAAGGTGGGTTTTCCAAGTTCAAAACGGGCTTGGGCGTTAGTTTTGCAATAGTTGTCTGACCAAGGCTCTTATGTAGCGCAGCTTGTTCCCCCAACCCTATTAGCCTATAGCCTAAACCTAAACCCTGAACCCTTGGGTTTCGCATTTACTCCGCGCATATTGCGCTAGCTGCCTCCCACCAGGTGACGACCAATGGTGGTGGTGATTCCGCTGATGCTGCAAACCCTTGGTCTTTGGTTTCCTTGCTCCACGCCATCACTGCCCCCACTACATGAATCCGACAACCCAAACCCCAAACCCCAAGCCCTAACCCTTAAACCCTAATCCAGATCCCAAACCCCTGAACTTTAAACCCTAAACCTTAATCCTAATCCTAAACCCCTAAATTTGAATCCCTAAACCCCTCAACCCCTAAACCCTCAACCCTAAAACCCCTAACCTTTCAACCCTAAACCCTAACCCAAAACCTCTAAACCGCTCAAACTCTAGACCATCATGTAGGAACCTGATTAAGAAACCCTGGCCCTATAGCCCCAAATCTATTTGGTTTCATATCAAGAACCCTAATAAAGACCCAGGGCTTCTTAATCAGGTTCCTATATTACTCTTGCAACTGACCCTGATCCATGAAGCCCCCAAATCAGAAGCCCTTACTATACGGGTCTGAAACCTGCGTCCTGTTTCTCATGTAAAGATGTCCCAAGACGATATTCAAATCACTGCGAAGGCCACCTCTAATACTATAGGTACTACTAGCTACTTCTTGAACTATTGTTACTACTGTTGGTGTTGTTGTTAGTATAGTTTGTTTGTCTGTTGCTATACGTATTATGTTTATGTTTCTTATTATATCTACTCGCATTAGTGGACCGATTATTATTATTGTTACTGTTTCCAGTATTGATTTGTTCGTACTAGTCTTATTTGTTGTCAGGTAGTCTTATTACAGTTGTGCGTATCAATGTTGTTATCATTAGTCTTACTGCTGTTATGATTGATACAACTGTTATATATCATTGTTATCATGACTATTGCTATTTCCTCCGCCATTCTGATTGTAAGTTTAGGGTTTAGGGTTTAGGGACAGCGGGTGAGATTACCCAGGGGTGTCCTCTCGGCCACGACGAACATCCGGACAATCAACCTGACCGGTCAAGGAAAGAGGCCAGCAACAAGACAAAGTTTGAGCCTTGGGGCTTAGGGCGTAGAATCCGAGAAACCCTGAACCCTAAGCCCTGAACCCTAAACCCTAAACCCTGAACCCTAAACCCTAAACCCTAAAGGACATTGTTGAACTCCTTTAAAGGTTTTTTGGGGTTTACGGCCAAGTCCTAAAGCACCTCAGAAAAGCTGAGCCCCTTGCATGCACGGCGAAGGCGAAGGGCGCAAATGGGAGAAGCCTTGATTCCCACGCTTGGTTTTAGGATTAGGCTTTAGGGCTTTAGGGGATTAGGATTTAGGGTTTAGGGTTGAGGGGTTAGGCTGTAGGGTTTGAGGGTTTAGGGTTTAGGGGTTACGGGTTTAGGATTTAGGGTTTAGGGTTTAGGGCTTCAGGGGTTGTGACTTGTAATGATGCAGCGGCACACCTGGACCGATACAGTAGTACACATTGAGAGCATCAAGTTTAACACCCTGCAGGCGCCGTTAAGCAATAATCTCGGTTTGAAGTCGTTCTTGAGGTGCCTACTAAAGGGTTTAGGGTTTAGGGTTTAGGGTTTAGGGTTTAGGGATACAGGCGCCTCAAAAGAAGCCATGTTAAGCTATGACTTGCTAGATAAGATTTGCAAACCGGGATTTGAGGCACGACCTCGCTTCTGTTGCGGCTGTGTGCACCCTGCCGGGAACATAACATCAGAAACCTCAGAACTAAAACTTGAACCCGAACAGCCTGTCACAAGCCTCATGCCGAGCGAAACTCAGAATCAAACAATGACCCCAAAAGCACCAAACCGGGAACCCCAAAACCCCAAAACCTCAAAATCCCCAGAACAAAACCCCCAAACTCCACCCCTAGGCCACGGCACGCAGTACCTCCCCCTGAAGCGGTAGTCAACTCCACCAGGAGCCTCCAGCAGCGTAACGGGCTTGCAAAAGGATTTCACAGGACTTTATAGTGTGTAAGAGGATTTCGGGCGGCTTCAGCATTTACGGTTTAAGTGTCAGTGGGTTTTATGAGTTTGTAGCATTTCGCGCAGTTTCGAAACCGTTGATAAACCTGTAGCCCCTCACTCTTCAACAAGGATTACCATATAAAAAAGCCCTCCAGCGACAACCCAGGGACAAGTCTTTCACGATTCATCACTGTGGTCCTCATCACCATGTCCTGAAACATCGTGATCACCTAATGTTGTCACTATGAACACTAGACACCAGTTTTGAAACCCTAAAGCCCTAAAACACGAACTGCAACTCTTCATCTTAGGATCGCGACGATCGCCCTCGGTCAAGGGGTCTTTGTGCAACACACGTACATGTGCTTAAGATATGTTAAGACGTCCATCTTAGATCCGGGGCATCCGCAATCGTTCAGGGGATCGGGATCTAAGCTCTTGTCTCTTTAGAACCCAGGCTGCTCAGTCAACCAGCTAAGCAACATGATATGATAATAGGTCTGTGTATACACACATACGTACGCAGAATGCGAAAATTGTATGCGGAGACCCCTGGCCTCGTCCGTCTCAGGGTTCGGAATTTCCGGACTCCCTATGCCTTCAGTTTCTGAGTTCATATGGCTTCAGAAGCCCTGTATCATAAAAGCCTAGTGTCGGGGCCTTAATAAGTAGAATAGGGTGTTGGGGTCATAATAAGGAACCCCCAACATAATTTAGGTAGTTCTTGACGCCCCTGTATGAAGAGCAAGTTCCTGCAGCTCTTGAAGCCCCTGAACCACCGCAACGACATTGTCAACGCCGGCACGACCAGCATAAAGCATAAACCCCACTTCTGTTTGCCGATACAGATAGATAGATAGATAGATAGATAGATAGATGGATAGATTGATAGATAGACAGATGGATAGACAGACTGATAAATAGGTAAACAGACAGACAGACAGGCAGATAGATAGATAGACAGATAGATAGATAGATGGATAGATAGATAAACAGATAGATAGATAGACAGATAGACAGACACATAGATAGGCATATATATATATATATATATACGCCTTATGAAGACGCCACGACTTGTGCAAGCCCAAGGGATCGTACGTAACCAAGCCTAAACCTGATCCGCCCCTGATAATCAAACGCAAATCCAAAACCATGACCGCTAAACCTGTCTAACCCCTAAACCCTAAACCTTAAATCATAACCCCTAAGCCCTAAACCTTGAATCAAGGTCTAGGACATTGAGTCTTAAACTATAAAACAAACCCAAAGCCCTAGAACATAAACCTGTGCAATGACAATAAGGCTATCAGGCTCAGTTTCCCTCTAAACCCTAAACCCTAAACCCTAAAACCCTAAAACCCGAACCCCTAAACCCTAAACCTAAACCCTAAACCCTAAACCCTAAAACCCAAAACCCTAAAACCCAAACCCCTAAACCCTCTACGCTCTCCTTCCAGCCGGCCTGGGTCCCCCCAAGGTGACCGAGACGCCTGACTCGAAATGGGGGTTCTCTCCGGGGTTTAGGGTTCAGGGTTTAGGGTTTAGGGTTTAGGGTTTAGGGGTTCAGGGGTTTAGGGGCTTAGGGTTTAGGGGCTTAGGGTTTAGGGGCTTAGGGTTTTCTAGGGTTTAGGGTTTAGGGGCTTAGGGTTTAGCATTTAGGGGTTTAGGGGTTTAGGGTTATCGTAGGACGTCTCTGGGGGGCTAGAGTCTAGAAGTCTTGGTTGTAGGATCCTGGGGTTTTACAGGTTAGGATTTAGGGTTGAGGGTTTAGGGTTTAGGGCATAGGGCTGATAGGGTTTAGGGTTGAGGGCTTAGGGTTAAGGGCTTAGGGTGGAAGGCCTAGAGGTTAGGGTTGAGGGTTTAGGACTGAGGGGGTGAAAAGGGTGCACTATCCTCAAACCTGCGAACCCGAAACCCCGAAAGCAAAAAGCCCCTAAGTACATAGATCCTCCCAACCCCTTTTCTTGAAAAAAACTCGCGGTTTGGGCTCATTGCCATGATTTGCTTTCACGTGTCCTTGAACAGGTCGGTTAGGTTAAGGGTTTAGGGTTTAGGGTTTAGGGTTTAGGGTTTAGGGTTTAGGGCACTAAAACCCTAAACCCTAAACCCGACATGTAAGCCTTAGAGTTTAGAGCCGGCGAGAGCCGTAGTCAAGCCCTTCCCAGAGGGCCATAAATACTACGTTATGCTGCTACTATGGAATTCCCCTTCTTGTCATAAGTTTTTCTATAATCGTCGTATGTGGATCCACTTAGCCTTTATTGCTGCGCATTGGAGTTTTGACGAAGCTTTGGGTTTAGGACTTACGGCTTAAGGGCTTCAGGCTTAGATCTTAGGGGACTCACCTCGTAATGATGAGGAACAACTCTAGTGCAACAGGTATGCTTAAAATGGAAGTGCGGCCGAATGGCTTCGTGCTTTTCTCGCCTTAAACCCTAAATCCTAGCCCTAAACCCAAAGCCCTTAACCCTAAAATCCTAAGCCCTAAACCCTAAAACCCTAAGCCCTAAAATCCTAGGCCCTAAGCCCTCAGCCCCTAAACCCTAAATCCTAGGCCCTGAACCCTAAAACCCTAAGCCCTAAACCCTCAACCCTCTGCTTGCTGGGCCTCGAGGTATGGATTGTGGGGTTTAGGAGAGAGAGCGGCGGCATTTAGGACAGGGCCGCAGCCAGGAGTTGCAGTTGAGAGTAAAGCATAACCTGGTCTTCAACTCACATGTATAGATGTATGCAATGAAAAATATGTCCCAATTTCTATTCTATCCCTACATGCCGGAGCCCATGGTCTTAACCGTAAACCCTAGACCCTAAACCCAAAAGTTTAACCGGGCGACCGGTCGAGCCTGCTGGCAATGTGCTTGCAGCAATCTCGCCATTTCCACGGAGCACCTGAGGGCCAGGGCGTGGGTCGTCAGCCGTAAACCCTGAACCATCAAGAGTTTAGGGTTTAGGGTTTAGGGGTTTAGGGTTGAGGGCCCTGACCCATCAAGGGTCCGAAGCACCTAGAACTTAGGTACATGGGTTCAGCATAGTAGGCAGGGAAGCTAGTATTTGGAAGAGTATATGAGTACTAGATACCTGGACCCCTACAACCTTAAGTCTGAGGCCTTATATCCCTATAAACGCCATGTACCAAAACCCTAAATCCCCACTCTAGATAAGCACGGACTCTGACCTTGAAATGGCACCACTTCCTTTCCCATGTGCGCTCCGACATGCTTGCGACAATTGGCGTCGCAGGAGGATCACCGGGAGGAACCGATTGTGCTTGATTGTTCGCAAGAACGAACTTGGCACGAATGTCTGACTTTTTCAGGTTCCGGACCAGCCGAAGCATTTGTTCAAGCCGTTCACCTTCTGTGTGAATTCTTCGGTCTGGTGGGCAGTCTTCGTCCATTGAACGTTGCGTTGGGCTGCATGACAGGGGACTGGCACCGGAACTGTGTTGCGGCTTCGAGTTTAAGGTGGAGGGTCTTAGTTTGGAGCGCCAAATTCAGAAGCCACTGCCTTAGGAACCTCACCTTGCAGATTGCAAGAGGAGCCCTAAGCCCAAAAGTTTTGGGCTCTGGGTTTAGCTACACCCAGACCCAATGCAGTACTAGCCTTCAACCTGGAAGAAGAGGCGGAATCCTGATGCATCAGAATATCTGAAAGATGTGAAGTACGATTACCTCTGCACTCTGGATCTTCAACCCGAAACCCTAAGACTCCAATATCCTTTAATTAAGGAACATACCTCAAATTATAGTAGGATCCCTAATATGATTTAAGGTGTATTCCTTAATTACTGGGAACCCTAAACCCTAAACCCAAAGCTGTGGTACTAAACTGCGGTACCCTGGCACACTTTCATGAGCCCTGCTGTTCGGGAATGCATGAAACCCCGCATCCTGGAAAGGGTTCGGCATGACGAGTTTAGGGTTTCGGTTGAGGATTTAGGGTTTAGGGTTTGGAGTTTAGGGTTTAAGGTCTAGGGTTTAGGGTTGAAGGTTTAGGGTTTAGGGTTTAGGCTTGAAGGTTTAGGGATTAGGGTTGAAGGTTTAGGGTTTAGGGTTTAGGGTTCAGGGTTGTAGGTTTAGGGTTTAGGGTTGGAGTTTCAGGGTTT